CAATTAAAATAGAATGAACTGCACGAAAAATCTATATCCATTTATAAAACTATTTGTTTACATTTGTACATGCAAACTGACTGCCTCCCTCCTTTTGTAACTAATCAATGTTTTCTATTCATTGTCACAAGATAACATTCATCTTTGAGTTTCCATTTGTAGATTCCTAACCCTGATTTTCTGCCACTTCAAAATATATTCTTTAAAACTTTGATGAAGAAATTGTCTTATTTGCATTTAACTTCCCAATCACAACATTCATTTTGAATTCAAATTGATATTTAGACATAATTTTGCAGCATCTAGCTAGATGATTTCAGGTTGTTTGACATGGATTATTTCTAACTGACTGTGTCAACTACCATAGCTTGTTATATATTAAACTTTCTATTCAGAGTATCACTATAACTCTCTTAATTTACCACCCGTTCTGTTTTCCCAAAATTCATCTTTCGAAACCAGTGAGAATTACAACATGCTCCCAGATCTCTGTTAATATAGTATCTCTGTGAATGATAACCAGAGTGCAAAAACAAGGGACAGAGTATACAAGCATAAAAGTGCACTAGCACAGTCGCAGTAAGCAAAAATGGTAAAATGCCAGATTTATATGCCATTCATAACTAGATCTTACAAGTGATGGTGAAAATTGAAATAAATGAGTATAATAGCTATTATGGAGACATGCTTACTCGGTGACCAAGGCTGGGACTTGAATATTGAGAGGCATTTTACATTTTGGAAGAGAAGGGAAGGAAAGAAATGTGAGGCAGCTTTGTTACTGAAGGATGAGATCAGTAAAATATTGAAAAACTAATTTTGATTCAAAAGATCAAGATTGAAAAAAAGCTTGGGTGGTAGTAAGAAGTAGCAAAGGGAAGAAATCACTGGTGGAGATTGTAGGTCTCTAGGCAGTAGTTACACAGCAGAACAGAGCATACATCAAGAAATATTGGGGCTGCAAGAAAGGTACTGCAATTATTTGGGTGTTTTTAATCTTCATACCAGTTGGACGAATCAAATTGGCAAACATTGCCTTGAGAAAGTGTCATGCAGCATATTTGACACAGTTTCTTTGAAGAATCTGTTCTGAAGTCTACCAGGGGGCAGACTATTTTGAATCAGGTAATGTGTAATGAGATAGAATTTATGAAAAACCTCATAGCAAAGCATCATCTGGCAAGAGTGATCAAACTACAATAGGTTTTCACAATTAGTTTGTGAAATATGTATCCATAAGTAGTGCTTTGAGCTTAGATCAAGGCAATGACAGAAGTATTAAGACAGGGTTGACTAAATGGATGGGGTTGACTGGTTAAAAGGGAAATGACAGACAAGTAGTTACAGACATTTAAGGAGATACTCACAATTCCCAACAATGTTATATTTCATTAAATAAGAAAGACTATACAAGAAGGATGAATGATAGGTAGCTAACTAACCAAGTTCAGAATGATACTACTTTCAGTGACTGGTGTGCAAGGATGTCCAGGTTTTGTTGCATCTCTCCCCTTCCGAATTTATCGCTGTTCAAACAATAAACTCCCTTCCCGTGTTTACTACCAAAGTGGATAGCCTCACATTTATTGACGCCATACTTTATCTGCTATGCCTTTGCCCACTCACTCAACTTGTTCAAATCACTTTGAAACATCTCCACTTCCCTCACAGTTCGTCCAGCTCGGTGTCATCTGCAAACCTGGAGACATTACATTTAGTTTCATTGTCTAAATCATTAATGCATTGTGAATAGCTGGAGTCCAAACACTGATCCCTGTGGTACCCCATAATTCACTGCCTGTCACTCAGAAAAAGACCTGTTTATTCCAACTCTTTGTTTCCTGTTTTCCAACCAGCTATCTATCCATGTCAGCACATTTTTCCAATTCCATGTGTTTTAATTTTAAATACTAATCTTTGGGTCCTTACCAAAATGCAATGTGAAAATAAAAGTTAAGCTCTGGCATGTACTGGAGGCAAGTTCAATTGAAACATTCATGAGGTTATTGATATTTTCTAAACAACCTGTTCAGAGATGTTATTATACTCTTCTGGAGCATTGGGACTTTAACCCGCTGTGCCACAAAAGCCCCCTTCTTTTCAGAAATGGCTGATGAAAAGTGGTTACCAAGAAAATCCTGTGGAACTGATGATGATTGTGATATTTTTAATCAACTTTTTAAGGAATGTTTTTACAAACTTCTGCGACAAGTGGATATTTTCTACATCAACTTGTTCAGAGATATTTTGCTCTTCTGCAGCAGGGGATCCTTGAACCCAGGCCTCATGGCCAAAGATAGGGTCACTACTGCTGTGTCACAAGGTCCTTCAAGAGGCTATCAGATCACCATTTTAACAGAAATCATGTGCATGGGCTATGGGAAAAGGCAGGAGACTGACACTAATCAAAGTGTTTAGGGAGCTGGTGCAGACATAATGGCTGAATGGCCTCATGCTGCACTATAATAAGTCTGTAATTCACCACGGACACTGGTGGTTGGTGTTAGTGTTCAACTGTTTCATTCATTAGCAGTCCCTCACAGATGAGGATGACTTTCTTCAATTCTCAGGGTGAGTCTGTAGGTGGCTATACAGACTGATGTGGCTACAGCAGGCTTTGTTACACCTGGCTGTGGGAAGGGGTGTGTGGGCATTGCACTTCTTTTGCTATTTTAATCTGGCTTCTGCTTTTTCCCAATGGCAAGTCTTGAAGTGCTCAATGCCTTCCCAGATGCTCCTCTTCCACTTTGGATGGTCTTGGGCTAGTGATTCCCAGGTGTCTGTGGGAATGCCGCACTTCACCAGTGAGGCCTTGAGGGTATCACTGAAGTGTTTCCTCTCTCCACCTGGGGCTTGCCTGCTGTTGTGAAGCTGGGAGTATAGCACCTACTTGAGGAATCTTATGTCGGTCATGCAGATGATGTGCCCAGCCCATCGTTGCCGATCAAGGGTAGTCAATGTCTCAATGGTAGGGATGTTGGCCTGGGTGAGTGCACTGGTATTGGTATGTCTTTCTTCCCAGCGGATTCACTAATCTTGCACAGGCAGCGTTGGTGGTACTGCTCCAATGCCTTGAGATGTCTTTTGTAGACAGTCCATGTATCAGAGTGATATAGGAGGGCAGGAACCATCACAGTTGTGTAAACCATGCTGTGGTCCTCGAACATCCTTTTCCTCAGGTGGCCGAGTTCCGTGCTAGTACACTGGAGTCGATGCTGGATCTCTTTGTCAATAGCTGCTTTGGCTGACAGGACACATCCAAGATATTAGAAGTGGTCAAAGTTCTCTAAGGCCTCCCCTTGATGGATTCACTGTTCAACTGTTACAGTGACTATGTCTCTCAGTCCTTATTTTGTCAACATATTTGCAGAATGTTGGCAGTTACGATAAGGATTAATATTATCTGATAGGTTAATGTGTTTATTATGTAATATTTTAATGCAGTGATTAAACAATTTATAAAACGGGTTTGTGCCTTTTTAAAACTTTTCCAAGCTTATATTTATTTTCTTTTTGTGTTTAAATTTCTGTCTCCGCCACTTAATTGCATTATAGTTGATTTGAAATCTAAACTAAATCTAAATCGAAAGCAGTGATGTGGGGTATGCACACAGACTTTGTATTGTTTGCCAAGTTAGCTTCTGCTCCTCCACTATCCCTGCCTTAAAATTCTCCGAAAGTTTGAAATGTGCCCCCGTCATTCTCTCAGCCCATATTTTTCATGCCGGGTGCTGTATTTCAGGGTAAAACATTGTATTTTATTTGTATATTTTATTCCTCAGGCTTACCCTAGCAGCCTTCAGGGTGTGCTGATGGGCATATGGTATTAACTGTTTTTAATTGTGTTTAACCTACACATAGTACCACTGGACCATTGCCTCTTCTATCACTGGACTGTTAATCCAGATACCCAGATAACATTCTGGGGATCGGGGCTCGAATCCCACCAAAGCAGATGATGGATTTTGAATTCAATAAAATATCCGATGACTATGAATCCATTGTCAATTGTTGGGAGAAACCCCCCCGGTTCACTAATGTCCTTTAGGGAAGGAAACTGCCATCCTTACCTGGTCTGACCTACATGTGACTCCAGACCCACAGCAATGTGGTTGACTCTGAACTGCCCTCTGGTCAATTAAGGGCAGACAATAAATGCTGCCTAGCCAGCAACATCCTCATCCTGTTAAGGAATAAAGGAAAAATAAAATTCTATGGGTATTAACAGGGATGGAGTTGAATTCACCTTTACCTGCACAAACCCTAAACCGAAACCAGAAATTGCTGAAAAAGCACAGCAAATCTGGCAGCATCTGTGGAGAGAAATCAGAGTTAATATTTTGGGTCCAGTGACCCTTCCTCAGAACTGATGGTAGCTAGGGAAAAGGTTAGTTTTATGTAGAAGATAGGATGGGGGGGAAGGAGTAAGGAGTAAACGGTAGGTGGAGATAGAGCCCAAACAGAGACAGAACAGTTGGACAAAGGAGTGGATAACAGTCAGCCTGGGAGAATGAATAGCTACTAAATGGGGACAATTCGTGGCTAACAAAGGGTTATGTGTAACAGCATACCATGTGATAACAAAGGCTGGTGTGTGCGGGTTGTGGTAAGGACATGGGAGAAGGTGCCTGAAACCCTAAAATTGTTGAACTTGGTATTGAGTCCAGAAGGAACTAACTTTTTCCTGGCTACCATCAGTTCTGAGGAAGGGTCACTGGACCTGATACGTTAAGGCGGACTTCTCTCCACAGATGCTGCCAGAGCTGTCGAGCCTTTCCAGCAATTTCTGTCTTTCTTTCTGATTTCCATCATTCGCAGTTCTTACGGTTTTTACAGAAAAAAACCCGTTGGGTTAAGGGGGCCATGGTTACAAAGTGCTCAGTAGAAAAGAAAAAATCCTTCATCAACGGACTTTCCGGAGTCTAACGTCCGCGTCTGTGTCGTGGTATTAATAATCCTGCAGCAGCAGATTGTTTGGTACGTCAGGAGACCATTCTGTCCATCGGATGTACGCTCGTTTTTCCTCAAATAATTCAATACTAATCCGCCGCCTGCTACTCTCTCCCCGTGTCACTTCCATCTGCCTTTATTTTGAAAGTATGGCCAATCCCCCAGAGAAGATATATGGGGGAGTTTCACTATTGTAGCTGGATCAAAGAGCAAACACCACTTTGTACCGCTGACCCCGTGACCCCGCACCGGAAGTGCTGGTTGCCGAGGAGACAGTGCTAACAACATGGAGGATGAGCAGGGAGGCGCGTCCGTTGACAACATCGTCAACGAGTTCGAGACATACGAGAGTTTCCTGGACTCGCAGGTCACCTCCCTGGACCTGTACTACCTGGAGGTAAGAGCCGTGCTCGGCAGCGACCCTCTGCCCACCTTGGAGCGTCCCTGCTGCGCCACTGCCCATGAGGTAGATCGAGCCCCCACCACGCTCCCCGCTGGCTGATTTTCACGGGCTTGTGCACATTCATAGCAATGTTTTCTTCATAAAAATAATCTATTCGTTTTATTTAAACCATTGCAATAGTTGTAACTATCAACGGTAATTTAACCTGCAATCGCAGTAATGAACAGAAGATAACCCATAACACATAGGTGTGGCGAATGATTCAGGAGCTGTCAATAACGGTCTTTACGCCCTGATTCCAGTCATTTATGTCATAACTTTAATGCTAAGCTGTAGTACAAATCAGAATCTTAACCCCGAATCCTATAATGGAAGTACCAACTCACTGATACTCGTCAGCCAGGTTGCCATAAAATTAGTGACCAGTAGTGATTAAAAAAATTAATTATAAACATGTGAACTGTCAAACGAATATTAATTCATGTCACGCTGAATGTTTTGTAATCCACGAAAGAGGTTCACACATTTTATTTGTCATTCATGACAAGAGCTTGAACAATATCTTTTTTCTGAGGATGCAAGGGTGCTGAGGTGAGCTGTCGTCTTGAATTTCTGCAGTCTCTGTCATGCAGTTGTACCCACAGTGCTGCCATGAGAAGAGTTCCAGGATTTTGATTCTGTGAAAGAACAACAATATATTTCCATGGCAACGTGATGTGTGGCTTGGAGGGGAATTTGCAAGTGGTGGTGTTCCCTTTTCATCTGATGCTTATCTTCAAAGTGGCCACAAGGTTTCAACTGCGCTAGCAAAGAATTTCAGGCAAATTGTTGAAGTGCATCTTACAGATATTAAAAGCTGCCGCCACTATGCACCAGTGTAGAAATGTGAATGTTTGAATTGGTTGGTGGGATGCCAATCATACTTTGTTCTAAAGGGCATCAAGCTGTTCTTAGAGTTACAACTCATCCAGATAAATATTCCATCACACTCTTGACCTGTGCCTTGTTGATGGTAGGTAGGGTTGGGAAAATCAGGAATTGAGTTACCAGAATTCCCAGTTTCAGACCTTCTCTTGTGCACCCAAATTTATGTGGCTGGCTCAGTTTCTGGCCAAAGATAACTGGCAGGTTGTTGATGTTAGGAGTTTCAGCTATGGGAAAGTCCTTGATTCTTAAGAGGAAATGGATGGATTTTGTTTAGCAGCTGGCCATTGCCAGGCACATGTGTAGTTTGCATGTTACCTGGCACCTTACAGTCCAAGCCTGAATGTTGCCCAGATCTTGCTTCATATAGACACAGATTGCTTCAATATCTCAGTAGTTGTGAATGGTACTGAACACTGTGCATTCATTAGTGAGGGTCCCCACTTCTTGCTTTCTAGATAGAAGGTAATTGATGAAAGAGGTGAAAATCACTTAGTCTAGAGCACCACCCTGAGCAACTTCTGCATTGATGCCCTGGGAATGAGATGATTGACCTTGCAAAACTCACAACCATCTTCTTTTGTGCTAGGTAGGATTCTGACCAGCAGAGTGTTTTCCCTTTGATTCCCATCACCAGCAGTTTTGGTGGAGTTTCTTAATGGTGACATATTGCCTTAATGTTAAGGGCAATTTCTCTCATTTCACCTCATGAGTTCTTTTACTAATGCTTAGGATGAACATTGTTCTTGTCAGCCGAAGCCTGGATATTTTACAGGTCTTACTTGCTTTGGGCATGCATTGCTTAAGTATATGAGGAGTTGCGAATGGTGCTGAACATTGTACAATCATCAGCGAACATCCCCACTTATAACACTGTGATTTAGAGAAGATCATTGATGAAGTAGTTGAGCTGAGGCACTACCCTGAGGAAGTCCTGAAGAGGTATCTTCCCGAAGAGAATTCCTTCCCAAAATCTCTCTCTGCCTCTTAATCTTGCTGTCTTTCTTTATGACATAGGTTTTAACTATCTTTTTGACAAAGCTCATGGTCATCTCTGGGCCATACTTTGTTTTAATCTGCATCTGTGAAGTTCCTTAAGATGTTTTGTCACTTAAAAGGTGTAATATACATATATGTTGTTTAGTACTCATGAGATTGAGGGTCATTGCAACAAAATGTTGGTGCTTGAGATAAAGAGCAGGGAACATATTTACAGTAGTGTAGTTTTAAGTATAGAAAACAATTATGAAATGGAAATAATGTTTATTGGTAGGAAATTATGATTTTGATGTTTGAATAATTCAGTTAAATCTTCAAAGCATTTCAAAGTCAGATAAATCTGTAGTATCTTGAACAGTATAGTAATATATCTTTTAAATCAGTATATTTTAGTCACATAACCAATGTATTGAATTCTACTCAATAGATTAAGTCCTTGTTTTTAAAACTCTTTAAGATGCATTCTTTGCTGCCAACATATTGCACTAATAAAAGTAAAAGGACCTTTGTTTAAGTGCCCATATGGTTCTTGCATTTAAGTACTTGAATATGTGGCTACATATATTGAGTTTCAAAGAGGTAATCTGGTTTCTTGTCAAAACATACTGAATTGAATGTTGTTCACCAGTCAGCGGAATGTTTTCCATTATTTCCGTTGACTTCCAATTTTGCTGATTCAGTATTTGATGATTCAGTTTTAGCAAAAGCTGAGGAAAATTTTATTTGGAATTTTTTTTCTGAATGATTTCTTCAAGAAGGACTTATTTCTATACATTTTATTTTGTATTCTGTAAGACTGCTAAATTTGTGTTAAAGATATCTTTGTGTGTGCAATGGCTGTTCTTCATTTCTAATTCAGAAGAAATTTCAGATCCCTGGTAAGAGAGTAAAACTACAAGATGCCATATTTTTGAACAAACCAACTAAATTTTACACAATTAGAGGACAAGTTGTTTTACTTTTCTAACATCTGGAAATATGATAAGGTAAATATGAGTAACAGACAAACTGTCACCAAACACTACATACAGCACATCAAATAGCAAGTACAATCAAGCAGATCCCATGGATCTGTCCCCAGACATTAATCAGTCATCTGATCTCATTAAAACTTTGTCTTCTTTATTTTTGAATCTCCAGCTTCAACACTTCCTCATAAATGCTGCTCTGTGACAGGTTGTCCCAATGTCTGCTTGTGTCCAGGTAATTCAGTTACTTGCAACTAAGATGATGTTTTACTGGATTCACAATACTGTGTGCCTGCAACCCTCAGTGGCAGTGTTCCGGCTCTTGCGCAGACTGTGATCTTGACTAACCTGACATTATTCCAGGCGTTTCTCCATTCTCCAGTATTTCTCAGTTGCATCAAGCAAATAACTGCTAACTGGTTTGAACCAACAATGGTTTCCAGGACTTCTCTTGAGCTGCAACTGCTCTGAATAGCTCCCAGGGATTTTCAGAGCTATTGCTGCTGTAGCAGGCCCAGTACCTCATCAATATGGAGCCTCTTTCTCTGCTGCAGAAGACTCCCAGTCACCATGAGCTTACTTTCTTCTTGCTACATGAGTCCTGTAGTCAGGTTTTCACTCGACCAACACCATACAGGCACTCAGGATGGTTAAGTTCTGCCCAATCATTGCAGTTACTGAGACAAATCAGAATGCAGAGTTGTACACATAAACCTGTCCAGTTTTCTGAATATGCTGTAACACTGAAGACTTATTGAGAATTGTAGTCCTATGCTTTGACCTGTAAGAAAGATAATTATTAACTGTTAAATACTTACAAATCTCTTTTCAGCTTTTTGTACTTGATTTAAATCTAATTTATATTGGAGCATGGTTCCAAGTCAGGAAGGTGTGTGGCTTGGAAGGAAGCTTGCAGTTGCTATGTTGCCATGCATCTACTGAGCGTTGATTTTGGGGGGGTTCATGATCACAATTATCTAATATGTTGATGTTTTACAGTAACTTTCTGATAGGCTGAGAAACAGTGGTTTAGACATGGCACAATAGTTAATTAGGTTAAGAAAGTGCACAGTCGTGACAGTTGAGGATGATTCACTGATACCAAAGTACAACAGGCTGTTGGAAGGGAATGTATTGACCTTGTTAAAGTTGTGGGGACAGCATCCTGCTCTCTAGCTGAGGTGTTAGGGAATCCTTCCCTTCTTCTGTTCCATCTTCCATTTGCCTGATGAGGACTGGCCAATGCCTACAATGTATGCATGATGAGAATTGCCAATAAAGAACTCCTGTCTGCCTCTGAGCACTTATTGTTATATCATATTTCTAGGGACAGGTAACTTTTTGGCTATGTCAATCAATTGTCTGAACCATTTTGGACAGTGGCCATGAGACAGCCACTCTTAGTGTCAGGTGATTGTTGTCCCTTTGCTTGCCTTCATCTGAGGGTTAGTTTACCATCTGTCTAAGAATGATTACTAAATTTTGAAAACAATATACTGATAATAGGGTGTGTTTGGTGCCAGACAAATTGTTGATGCCTGTTTACTGGACATCATGACCTCAGTGATTTATAAAATTCTTCTCTTTGTTTGCACATGCTAGAATTTTGAAACATTAACAACTACTGTAAATGCTCTTGAATGAAGCTGCATGCTACACTGTAAATACTTGTAAAATCCAGGTTTTAAGGGACTCCAATGTCCAACATGCCCTTGTCCTTCAGGGGGTAGATAGAGACTATGGGTTTGGAACTATTGAAGGATCCTTGGTGAGTTGCTGTATTGCATCTTGTATGTGGTATGCAGAAATGCCACTGTGGTAGAAGAAGTGAATATTAAAATGGTAGATGATCAACTGGGCTGCTTTCACCTGGATGACGTTGAACTTCTTGTGTTGATGCAGCCACACATTCAGGCAAGTTCCTAACTTGTGCATTGTCAATAGTGAACAGACTTTGAGGAGCCAGGAGATGAGTTATTCACCAAAAGCTGCAAATTTGCTAAGTAGTTATATAAATATAGTAGTTACATTTCTGATAGTAACCATCACCGTCAACATTATGAAGGCAGTGAGATTGAAAATCAAGGGGAGATGGTTAGGTTG